TTTTTTTTACAAAATCTAGGACAAGTTTTCATTGTGTAGCGGATTGAAAAAAGCTAATGACGACGATCAGATAGATCAAACGGAATTGCACCTCATTAGGTAGCATGATCGTAAGTTTCACACGTCTGGCTTAACCTCACCATAAAATCTTTCTCCTCTGTCGTTCGTAGATCAAATTCCAAGGACAAGATGTTCATTCATTATGTCAGTCGCTATTTTCTCACTACTTTAAAATGTACAACTTTGAAGTAACGAAGTTTTCGGTCATAGCGTATTTTTGTCACTGCTGATATGGACTTGAAATGAACTTAAGCTGATAGATTTGCTTCATTTTCTGTTTCACATTTCCAACCTCGAATTCTTCTCCGTGTCTATTTCTCATGTGTTTTTCAACGTCTTAGAAAAGCTACGTTTCTTTAGGATGGCTAAAAAAGGCAGCTTTAAAAAATTTTGCTAAACATCTATCAGTATCAAGTAGTTTTTTCAGACGGAAACTTGATGTTGATTCTTTGAGCTGTCGTCAATATGTCCTTACATATTTCTCAGGCACTGAAGAATAGAGAAGAAACGGGATAAATAGAGGGCCAACAATAGAAGAGATGAAGAGAAATTTTCAGCTTGAGTTCGCTTCATATGTCAGCACAAATATGCAGTGGATCTTTCGCTGCATAATGTTTTCTTTTACACCTAACGCCGAACCATTTGCCATAACTTTGGTAGTGCATTTGTGCAGATGCAAATTGTTTAGACTCTTGAAGTCTACTTAAACTGAATACCTTATTGAAATATCGGTTTTTTTCTTTTTCATACTCTTTTTCCTCCACTTCTTGTGTTTTATCCTTTTTTTTCCTCTTAATTTTCTTGGATAAAGATAAATCAGTAATAAGAACAGTCAGAAGTTTCATCTACTAATGAAACATTTACTAAAATGTTGTTTTTTGAAGAAGGCGGGGTATTTTGCAGACTCTACCTTCGCGGTGAACCAGTAAGGATATTAATAACCGAACTTTGACAATAGTGTCTCCTGCATGATGAGTCTTTGTCTTGGTCAAGGTGAAACAACTTCGACCAGTACTCAGCCTTTTCTCACTAAGTTGACTAGTGTTGTTCGTTAGGCATCGCCAAGCTGCCCCGCTTGGTCGTCTGTCTGTTTCTATAAAGACCTAGTTTTGGAAATGTAGATCATCGTCGCCTTGCCGTTGTCACCGCTGCTGCCGCCTCCGTCGACGACGACGACGACGATCATCGATCGTTTTGACGCGTCGCGTTCCGTCATTCGTCGAGCCATCTGTTCATAAATTAACGACGCTTCTCGCGTTGTGTCCTTCGTCATTTCCGGCTGAGGACCCGCCATGGTCACCATATGTTTTTATGTATGCATTTTGGGTTATTTGACTTTTCCCCTCGTCATTCAGGCATATCTGTGGCTGATGAACACGTTTTTCATCGAGCAGTTCAATTACAGCTTCCAGTGAAGTATCCGTGCAACTCGAACGATAGACTACGGCTATGCTTCGCTGTGTGATGAGTCTTGTGTCCGGTTCGTCGTAACAGCCTACATCTGTATCCTTCTTCCGTCGGTCATCGGTCAGTTCGACCGCTGTACATTTTTATCCAGCTACCGTATCGGTTCTCGTTTTTGCTTCGCCTCAAGAATTCCTCCTTTGCGGACGGGGTGCAGTTGTGATGAATAACGTCTACTGACTGTACACTTTCTGTACCAAGAGAAAAGGTACTCGATTTTTTTTCCTCGTCTTTCGCCAGACTTTATATTCGCGTTTTTCTTCAGTCATGTCTTTCGTTTTCTACATCGTCGCTGTGAACCGATAAAATGTCCATCAGTCGACACGTCAGCTTCCCTGGTGCAACCTTTAGCCGGCAGAAATACGTCAACGCTCGTTCCGGGTAGGTGGATATTAATTTTTTTCATCTTCACTTCGGCGAATCGTCTCCAATTCAGTGTTCATCATTTTTTCAGTTGCCTACTATAAAAAATTTTCTTCGTCTGAAAATGCATGACAAAGTTTAGCGATCGATGTGTTTTTAGGTTAACTTTAAAGTTTAAAGTTTACAGGTGATAAATTTTTCAGTGCGTTAACGACGGTGCTTCGGTTGTTTTTTTTAAATGCAAATGCTGATAGCTCTCAAGCGTTGTCCAGGAGATAAAGTGTCAGTCTTGCTGTGGAGAGACCATGATTTGAGCCTCAGAGAGTTCACTTTCTACCTTCCATTATTCTGACTCAAATAAACGAAAACCGGTCTGCGAAAAAAGAAAACGGGAGACCGTTTCTGTACTTGTACTTGCTACATCTGGTAATAGACGTTGTCAAGGCACTTTTGGCTGGCTGATGAACTGATCATGATGAGATACTAATAGGTTGGCAGTTTTTGAAGCTATGCTTGGATCACTGTTAGTCGATGGACCACATCAGATTGACGAAGAAAAGTACAAAGGAGGTGTCATACCGTCAGGAAAAGATTCAGTTAAAGGAAGCTTTGGAATAAAGTCAGCATCCAAACAACGTACAAATCACTACAAGTCAATCTGATGACAGTAATAAGCACACAACAACCAATAAGTGCGAGAACGGATGAAGAACAGCTAAAAAAAAATCTCCTCGGCATTAGGTGAGTGCTTAAGATTGACATAAATTTCAAAAACGGTTAGGTGACGAGGTGGAAGCTATCATTTTGGCAGAATAGATTTCCTCAAGCTTTTACCATTTGAGACAAAACTTTCTTGGACAAGAATGCTGTGACAACAAACCGAGTTGCGTACCGTCCCGACGGATAGCGACATATCAGGATGGATTGTACTAAACATCATGTAGCTTTATTAGCAGCTGGTCGGCAGCAGTTAAAATTTTAAAATATTAAATTTTCATCACTGTAATGTCATCCAATCTCGCCATCGCTTAAGGTTCGTAATGGAAACCAAAAGCAGCGAAAAGCCGCCCATTTTCCTAAAATTCTCTCTTTTGTGTAGGGGGAATAAGTTGTGTTCTGATTCCTAGCTTCTGAAGTCGGAAGCAGAACATCGAGGATAAAAAAATCCGTAAAACGTTTCTGGGATGCATACTCTATAAGAAGCTATAGTAAATTGGCACAGCTGCGTATACATTTTTACCGTTCTGTACTTTAATTGTTAGAAATAATCGGCAGGCGCTTCATTAGGGTTTCTTTGGCATTCTTCTCGTTTTTATGCCTCTTCTTGCTTTCTCACTCCCGGGCTAAAATTTACAGTATTACTTCTATTTCCAAGGTTTCTGTTTATTTGTGAACCTTCGAGGAAGCATTTAGTGTCTTAAACATAGTTTCTTAAGCGTTTTTGAGTTACATATACTGGTTGAGTATCCCTAATCCGAAATGCTTTGGACCAAGATTTTTTCAGATTTTGAGTTTTTCCGGATTTTGGAATACATGATATGATGAAGTTGAAGAGAATTAAGAAACAAATTCAGGAAATCGATGAAGTAACTCATAACGGGTTATAAAATTCCGAAATATCAATTATATATACCATTTAACATAATTTCTCATCTAAACTCTCCACTTAAATGCACAAAATAATGCTTCATTTGAATAAACGCATTTACGACCCAAAACAGTAAGTTCCTGTCCTGAGGAGCTGCTGGCTGTAAGAGCAAAGTTATAGATGTCCCAGAAAGCAGCGCAGCAGCTCTTTACCAATCACAAAAAAGGACACGCAGTTATTCCACAAATTAAAACGACTCGGGTTTCGTTGCAGTAAAACATCATCAGA